TCCTTTTGTTGCATACTTATATATTGCTTATGTATTGTTGTTTGGCTTGTGCATAGAGATGCCGTCGTATGTCGTGTACAAGGGTAAGGTTCCCGGAGTCTATGACGACTGGGAGGAGTGTCGGAGACAGGTTCACCGTTTCAGCGGTAATAGTTACAAAGGGTACACCACTAGGGCGGAGGCCGAATCTAGATACGCCCGCTATCTAGCGAGAGAGAGGAGGGAGCGTTGGAGGAACCAGATGAAGACCAGTTTGCTCGCGATGATGCTCATCGTGATGACCATAGCTCTCTTCTATGTGATGGTAGTTTAGATGATCGATATCAACTTGTAATGTGAAGACAAACTCGATACTCGCGGTCTTGAGACTTGTAATGTTTTATCTTTGTTTGGTCTTTTGAATTCGGAGACTAATATGATGAATTGTATTCGGAGACTAATCTTCTATTGTATTCGATGAATCTGATGTTGCTGTGTGTTGCTGTCTATATTCTGTCTAATAATATATTTTATATTCTGTCTAATAATATATTTTGTAACCTGCGCAAAAATCAGAAAAGGAAAAAAACCAAATATTCATACTAATGGCGCATCACCACCAGGTGTGCCATTAGTATGCCAAAGGATACTAATGGCACATCAACAGAGAATGTGCCATTAGTATGACAAAGCCATGCTTACGTATGGCCCCCCAGGAGGCACACTAATGGCGCATGCTGTTACATACTAATGGCGCACTAGTTGGTGCGCCATTAGTATACCAGATACTAATGGCGCACTTGTGGTGCGCCATTAGTAAGATATACTAGTGGCGTGCTACTAATGGCGCACTGGTAATGCGCCATTAGTAGGCAAAACCAGTGCGCCATTAGTAGGCCTTTTCCTAGTAGTGGAGTCACCATGCACTCAGTAGGAAGTACCTCGCCTGGAAACTCAGCAGCTCACTTCTCCTCAATCTGTTTAAACATATAAGGGCCATATATGGGCACCTTTCAGTCAGGCACGATAGAGCGAAGCTCACGCCACATGATGTGTGAGATGTCCAAAGTAGATGACTTCCCTTCTCCTTGATGCACATTAAGAGGAGAAACACCAAATAGGAGTGCACCATATCCAAATTCCTAATGCGAGGGAAGAGAGTGCTGCGAAAGATCCGGTGCATAATGTCCAAAAATGGAACGAGCTCCGTGCGAGTCCCCTTGAGAGTCTTCACTGTCCTGGAGTAGCGTATAAGCTTTGACTTGTGCATGGGAGGTGATTCCTTGTGAGGCCGGAGACCAACTGGGTTGTCTTCACCCTCATCTGCAACACCCAAACAATCCATGAAGTCCTTCCAATCAACCTTGAATCTCCTTCCACCGGTCATCCATGACATAGATCTCTCCTCATTTGCATGGAAGTGAACCGTGGCATAGAATTGAGCCACAATCTCTGGATCATAGCCCTTGTTGTATGTGATGAAGGGAATGAGTCCCCATTGATGACAAAGAGCAAGAGCCTCTCCAAAGTATGCCAGATCCTTCTCCATACGAGAGACATCAATAGAGTTGATCGTCACAAACAAGTTCTTCTTGGCCTTTAGAATGTCAAGGTAGATCAATGATTGCTCCTTGGTCCATAAGGGACGACCAACAAGTGCCTCATCCTGAGCACAAAGATACGGGTTGCGAATGCGGAACACCTCAAACTCCTTTGCGGTCATCTCATCAGGAGGGGTGTACTTCTCCTTTTGCTTACTGGCTGGTGACTTCACGTGATGCTTGGGAGGACCACTAGAACTAGAAGGAGTGCCATATGAGGTACGGTAGTGCTTAGATCCACCCGGATGCTCGGGGTTCTTGCGACGAGCATGATGAATAGAGCTACCATCACCTGGAACCCACAAACACAAAGCAAGGGAAAAGCAGGTGTAAGGCCATAGCATAAGCCAAGAGACATAAAATGAGAATAGAAGTAAGTGCAAAAAGTGTGAAAATCCATATCACAGCGGTAGTACCACTGAAGGGTAAGCGGTAGTACCGCTGGATACGAGTGGTAGTACCGCTACAAGCAGTAGTACCGTCTGCATCCAAGCGGTAGTACTGACCACCCGATGGGATGACTTCTGCGGTGTGGATCCGGTAGTACCGATGACGTGAAGATGTAAACTTTTGGAAAAAACTACTATACTCCTATCTAGCAGCCATCCTTCATCCTACTCATGCCTAAATTTAGCCAAAAATCTACATATACCACATGCATTGCCCTAGAACCAAGATTCAAAAATTAGAACCGTAGGAGAGGAAAAGGTGGGGATCGATCCCACCGGTCGAAAACGGAGAAGACGACACGGATTAGGAGGGTCGGAGCTGGCCTCTAGAGTAGTTTTGAGTCTCCTGAGAGAGAGAACACAAAGAGGAAGTGAATAGGTATGGCGGAGTTAGAACTCCACGTGCTTACCACTTAAACCCCTCGTGGGTCCTCGAAGCGGTAGTACCGCTGGGGTCAGCGGTAGTACGCCTGAGCGGTAGTACCATTCCCTACAGTGGCAGTACCGCCTCAATGCGTCAACAGGGGGTCAACACACTACTCAGCGGCAGTACCGTTGGCCTGCGCGCGGTAGTACCGTTCTTGCCAGCGGTAGTACCGCTTGCTACCAGAAAACTGCACTTGATCAAGAAGGGAACAAGGGCTTATGCAATATTTGAGAGGTTGAGGATAGGAAGGCTTGGGCTGGAGAAAGGAACACAACAGAAGGAAAGGAGTACTCCAAGGTTAAAAATAACCAAAAAGAGAGCACACTTGGATTAGTCCAACACTTGAAAGCCTACAACACGAACGCACAACTCAAACCAAAAGTAGCCAAGCCTCTCAAAGAGAGAGGGCGGTGACCAAGGTCACCTATCACTACTAGGGAAAACCTTATACACAGAATCTTAGCAGCAACGCGGCACAAAAAGAAGCGCTACTGCTAATTAGCAGTAGCGCGGGTTTTTACCCCTCACTACTACTAAGTTGATAGTAGTAGCGTGGGTTTTTAACCCTCGCTACTAATAAGCGGTCTCTACCGTGCTCCCCGACACATGCCATAGTAGTAGCGAGGGGTATAAACCCGCGCTACTACTAAGTTGATAGTAGTAGCGCGGTTTTATACCCCTCGCTACTGCTATGTACGAGGTAGGTGAAGTCACCATATCCTCGGCCGAATCCCCATCTCCTCTCCAAAATCCCTCCTCTTCCACCATTCTCTCCTCTCACTTTCCATACGCTCTCACATGGACCTCTTGCCCATGCGCCCATCCATCTCTGTGGCGCCGAAAGATGCCACCGCCTCGCGCCACCGGCGTCTAGGAGCTCGGTCTTCCACCACGTCTAGGAGGCCGCCGCCCCGCGCCACCACACCGGAGCACCTCACCACCAGTGACTAGCTCCGCTGCTCCCTACATCACCTTCCTCTCTCCCTCGGTTTTCCTTTCCTCTCTCTCCCTCTGGTTTGACTCACCCTCCCATGTCCATGCCCGTGCAGGTCGTCGCCATGGATGACCCGGAGCTATCTGGCATGGTCAGGAAGAGGAGCCCCACGCCGCGGCATGGCTCTGCCATAGAAACGGGCCCTCTCCAACAGCCACTGCTGGATCTGGTCTTCCGCTATCCGTTCATGCCTCCTGCAACGCCAATCATCGCTAGATCGAACCACTGCTACCATTAACAACACGCAGGGGATCGAGATTTTTTTGTTTTGTTTTTGAAAGTAATAGCAGTAGCGCGGGATATAAGACCCGATACAGCTAATTAGTAGTAGCGTTGTTTGCAACGCACGCTACAGCTAACCATGTATAGCAGTAACGCGTGTCAACACGCGCTACTGCTACAAGTTAGCTGTGGCACCGTATCAGTAGCGCGGGCACCCGCGCTACTGATACACCCAAAACCCGTGTTGCTGCTAGGCTTTTCCCTAGTAGTGTATATTTGAGTCAATTGGTATTGCACCACAAAGATTTTAACCTTCGGCCCATGACCAAAACTTGACTTTGAAG